GGGTGGGGGGGGGGATAATATAGATCCGCCAACACCCACCTCTTATCTTTTATAGCAGTAATAATGCCTGCAGCCTCTGCAGGGGAAACACGTGACACTGAGCTTGCCCTATCTGTTGGTCTTTGGACACCAAAATTGCCTGAAGAGCTTGGACTAGGAGTTCCGGGGCGGGAAGACCCAGGAGACTGGGAGCTTCCTATAGATGGTTGATAACATGATTCATTATTACCCTCCTGTGGACGTTGCTGAGGTTGCTGCGCACCCCTGCGGGAATTTTAAAAAAGGTATATATGTTAAAAATAACTAATTTACATAAGCTAATCTTATGCATCCTAGTTGTCAATTAGAGCATACCATGTCAGTAAGCAAGCCAATACAAGCTACCAAGTCTTATGGTAATAAACCATACAAATAACATGCATAGAGTTTTCTGATTTCTGAATGCTTATAGGAAAATGAATAGAAGACACCAAACCTTTTTTTTTAATGATAAAGGTAAACATTTCATCTAATAGTATTAAGAAGGTACTAAAAAGGATTACAAAAAGAGATGCTTTCCTTCTATGTCTTGAAGGAGTACAAAAGATCTAGCATAGAGTTCATATCAGATACAATGTTCTTCCTACACTGTGAAGCGTAGACTCGTTCAATGTCTAGATTTAGCATGCAATGACATAAGATTGTAAGATACTCTCTCTCCTCCTATTAAAACATCTATCATTCTTTTCCTGCCAGATATTCCAGAAAATGCAAGTAGGAATTTCCTTCTGACATAATCTGCTGTCCCTAGAAGAGTACAAATCATGCCTGCTGCATAGAGCATATTTCATGCCCCCTGAGGCCTGACATGACCCGCATAACTCAAAAACATTGACTAGATCTGCCTAGTAAAAGTACAGTACAAACAACAACTACGCCTCAATCCCAAACAAGTTGGGGGCTATATGAATCTCCACTTCTTTATTTAAGTTATCATCATCATACTAGTAAAAATAAAAGTAAAAAATAATTAAATGTATAAACAATAATAACCTATATGAATCTTTTTCCTTCATTATGCCCTATCTTTAGCTAAATCTGCATTGATACCAAACATTTGAGGTCTATCAATACAACTCGCTCAGATGTAATTTTAGATCTATCCCAACCCCCTTTAACACCTGAACTTACCATAGTACGGTACAAGACACCAATAAGATCATCTTATTAGAAGTCCATTAGGTGAAGACAAACGAGAGAATTGCAGTTCCTCCAATTATACAGTAGCTAATGATCCCAAGCCTCCTATCTAACAAAGTAAAAAATTTGCTATCACCTAAGTCTAACATTATGAATTTCTCCTACTTCATAACAATAACAACAGCATCGCCGCTTCAATCCCAAACTACTCTCTATTTGGGAACATCTTATTTAGATACTTAAGATTCTCTTCTTTTTCTTATGACTGTGATGTCTGGACCAGCTTTCGCACATCTCGACTAATTCCACAGTGTACCTGTAACCTCCCAGGACTAATTCCACATAAATACTCTATAACTTATACTTCTAAAACTTCTCCAAAATTAGATGTTCCTAAAATTCCACACTACCATAAACTGACATCCAATTCACCAAAAAGAAAACTTCCTAGAACTGATGCGAAACAAACGAATTTCAACAAACTAAGCAATATATCATCCGACAAACAAAAGAGAAGATCTCAACAGATGAATTACAGTAAAACGAACCCTAATTTCAACAATTAAACGCGATAAACTCAGGATTTAACAATGGAATCATACAAACGAAACAGAAAATCGGCGATTATCAAAGAAATATTACCAGAATTTATTGAGCATGGCTTCGAACAATCAGAAGAAAAATGGAAACTTAGCAGAGAAGATATCCTTTTCCAATTGACTTCCCTTTTCTCTTTGCCAAAAACTTGAAGAAACTGTGAATAAATTTTCACACAATTTTTTTTTATTATTATTACTGCTGTTTTATTCTTCTTTTCTTTTGGTGTGTTGTATATGGAAAACATATTTTATCAATGTTTATTGATTACTCCTAAAACTTATGAAGAAAAAAATTTAATAGGAAAATAAGCTTTTTGAAATTAAACACTCTTTCCACCATCTACCCTCAATTACCCTGTATATTGATCAATTCGGTTCGATTTTAAAGTTTATTGGTTTGATTTAATGGTTATTGATTTGTAGATATGTTAAATCGTTATAGAACCATTAAGTTACTGATTTATCGGTTATCGATTTATCAGTTATTGATTGTTATTAGTTCAGTTATTGGTTTAATCATTTGACACGCAAAAAAATCATTAAAAATCACTTAGAAATAAGATGAAAAAAACAAATGAACCATGCATATGAGCTGACAGATTTCATCTTACTTAAAAACAAACACTAACATGTTGTAGAACAACCAAAAGTTTGAGATAGTCAGAATTAAAAGTATGAAACTGAATCCTAAGTCCCATTATCAATAAATCAACAAAAAAAAATTGGCTCAGTTATCGATTTCGGTTCGATTTAGAACAACCCCACCCTAGCCCCATCCATTGGTGTAGTCTTATAGCCGCATGTAACGTAGGCTGGTCAATTGAACACTCTTCGTCAAAAACTATATGATATATATAGGATATAAATTTGAGGGTGTTTGGATTGGCTTAAAAGTTGATCAAACCTACTTTTAGGTCTGTTTTTTACTTTTGAAAGTGTTTGGCAAATATATATATAAAAAAAAATAAGTCAAAAATAATTTAAAATAAGTTAGAAAATGTTTTGACAAGGTAAAAAATGTCTTAAAATAAGTCAAAAATCAAAATAGGTCTCCCCTACTTCTTCTTTTTTTACTTAAAAGTAGGGCTGGGCATAAAATATTGAATTTTCAAATCGAATCGAAATTTTGGTTATTTGGTATTTGGTATGGTATTCGGGTTTGGGTTTGGTGTATGAGACATTAGTACCATTTGGTATTCGAAATTGGGAAAAAAAGATGAATTTACCCCCGAACTTTGATAAATGGTATGTCTATGCCCTCCGTTATACTTTGGGTCCATCTCAGCCCCTGCCGTCCAATTATCGGTACACACATGCCCCACCTCACTAACGGCCCCCTCATCCTTTACACGTGTCATAATCCTAATTAACTACCCGTTTGACCATTATTTTTAACCCATAAACTAACCACCCGCCCCATAAAACCATACCCACCTGATTCACTCTAAAATTGAGATGGCCCTTGAAGCTTTGAATTCTCCAACTGGTACTTCAAATCCGCAGACATTTCAATTTGAGAGCAAAGGTCAACAGCAGCTTCGGTACCTTGAGAATTGGACTAAAGGGGAGAGATCTAAGAGGTCACGGAGTATGGATCGCCAGCCGACTGAAGAGGAATATTTGGCGTTTTGTTTGATTATGCTTGCGCGGAGCGATGACTCTGTTAGTCAGGTACGATCTCTACCATCGCCGGTGCCAGTAATGAAAATCCACACGCCGTAGGAGAAGATTGAGGAGAAGATGTTGTATAAGTGTTCGATTTGTGGTAAGAGATTTGGATCTTATCAAGCTTTAGGAGGACATAAAGCTAGTCATCAGAAACTCATCGCCGGTGGCGGCGGAGGAGATGATCAGTCGACTACCTCAACTACTACTAACGCTACCGGAACTACTAGCTCCGGTAACGGTAACAGAAGTGGAAGGACTCATGAGTGTTTGATTTGCCACAAGTGTTTTCCTACTGGACAAGCTTTGGGAGGACACAAAATGTGTCACTACGACGGCGATAACGCTAACAGTAGCGTTAGCACTAGTGTCGGAGTTACGTCGGAGGAGGACGTGGGGTCTACAATCAGCCACCCTGATTTTGACTTGAACATTCCGGTGTTGCCGGAATTCTGTCCTGGATTTGGTTCCGGCGAGGATGAGGTAGAGAGTCCACATCCGGCGAAGAAATCTCGGCTATCTCTACCTCCAAAATTTGAATCATTCCACTCAATTCTCATTTTTCAACTCTCAAATTTTTTGTGTTTTTGATTTTGTAGTGATTGAATTGAAAATTGACAGAGAGAAATGAGTAGAGTTGGTGTAGAATTAATGGAGATTGAAAAAGAAGTAACGGAAGAAATGAGAGATGGTGATGATGAAGTGAAAAGAATTCTTCCATGGACTAAACAGATTACAGTACGAGGAATTGTGAGATAGGAACGAAACTCGAAAGATTTGGGTCTTTTAATTGACTTAGGATATTTTAGATGGAATCGGGTGGGTATGGGTTTATAGGGCAGGTTGTTAGTTTATGGGTTAAAATAATGGTCAAACGGGTAGTTGATTAGGATTACGACACGTGTACAAGATGAGGGGGCCGTTAGTGATAGGGGCATGTGTGTACCGATAATTGGACGGCAGGGGCTGAGATGGACCCAAAGTATAACGGAGGGCATAGACGTACCATTTATCAAAGTTCGGGGGTAAATTCGTCCTTTTTCCCTTCGAAATTTCTCGAATATCAAATTATTTACTTGATAAAGGTCATATATCAACATATTCATTACTCATTAGTACAAGTCCAAAGAGAAAGTTAAAGAATAAGCATGAATAATCCAAATACATGTCTTTTAGTTGTATCAATTTGTTTTTCTTGATGTCTTCTTACTTGTTGATCTTCTATTATATTGTGTGTCCACATAAAAAAATAGAAATGATTGGAGAAATAGTATTAACTTTGTAATACAATTGGCTATAAGTTCAATACGGTATTATCGAATCCCGAATTACCAAATCAAAATTTAAAATTTTGGTATTTGATATCTACTTTTAACTACCAATTACTGAATTACCAAATCCGAAATTTGACAAAACCCGAACCGAAATACTTCTCATTACATGGGAGAAATAAGAGGAAGTATGGTTGGACATACAGAATAAGTGGAAGGATTTACATGTCAATCTCTTCAAAAACAATGTCGATAACAAGTAGTGAAGACAGGAGACATTGGAACTGATTTGCAACGGATGAATCAAGGTTAGATTTATCTGTTATTTGTTCAAATCACATTCAACGATATCATTTTGTGTAAAACTCTGTGTGTGAAGCAACTCAGTCGAACTTCTGCATTCTGCAGCCCACCTGTTTGTGACATCTTTTGATTGTCCAAAATACAAATTTTCTTCTCAGTTTTTGCTAATTTCATTGGTTTGAGTTAATATGATATGGTTATTGTTAATTAATCTTTCCATCAACGTATTCTTTCAATCAATAAGCTTGCTTGTGAACAGTATAAAACGTTGAATAGTGTTCACTGTACTATATTTGTGACACAAGAGAATTCCAAAGGGATAAGAATCTAAAAAATATCTCAATTTTGGTCGGATTTGTTGTTGCGATACTAAACTTTCATTAAGGATCTATTACCTCCCTAGACTATTTAATATTGTATTTTAAACTTTCATATATATGTTTAAAATACGGTATTAAATAGTCTAAGAAGATAATAGGTCCTCATAAAAGTTTAGTATCGCAACAGCAAATCCGACCAAAGTTGGGATATTTTTCAGACCCTTATCCCAATTCCAAAAAAAGGGACAAGAATCCACTAAACTCTATTAAAAAAGAAAACAGAGATTGGTAATGTGTGTTTCGTTCTCGAGATGACTTAATGCCCGTTTGAGTCTGTTTTCTCTGTTGGTTGTCTTCTCGAATTCGTATTCGTGGTTGTTGTGCTCGCCTTAAGTTTGTGTTGGTTACTTGTTAATCATCATGATGCACACATACGGTCAAAGAAAAATTTGTAAAAGTACACGGATGAAACAAACATGGTAATTTGGTTAAGTGAAAGAAAGAGAATCCTACATTAATGGGTAAAGTAAAAATAGAATCCTAATTACCTTATAATACTATATTTGATATTTATATTTTATAAAATAAAAATATAAATATTATTAATAAAAAAAAAAATTGCCTTAAAATATGTGTCAGTAAAAAAAAAAAGGATAACTAATAAGTAATACAAGTATGAACAATTTCAATTTCACAAGTAAAAGGAAAACGTAAAAATTTAAGATCAACACAAACTATATAAACACCCACAAAACACAAAACAAAAGAAAGAAAAAAAAACTTAGCAATATTTCAAAAAAAAAAAACGTAATCGAATGAAACTTTCAGGTGAAAAATTAGTCCCAAATCAACCAGGCACAATCACAATAATCCCTGAAAAACCAAACGATTTATGGCTTTTGTTCAATCTCATTGCCAATGATGATGTCGTTTCTGCTACCACAACTCGCAAAATTCAATTTTCTTCACATTCGACGAAAAATCGCAAAATTCAATTTTCTTCAGATTCGACGAAAAAGAAGAGCAGTTCTAGGGTTCAAGTCCAGCTCGAAATCAAAATCACAAATGTTGATTATGCGAAAGATTGTTCAACTATACGTGTTCGTGGCAAGACGATTACGTCGAACGAATATGTAAATCCTGGAACTTTCCATACTTTGGAGCTGGAAACGAAAAAAGAGTTCAAACTGACAAAGAAGCTTTGGGACGAAGAAATGATTAGGATTTTGAAGGAAGGGTCGAATCAAAATGGTAAGTATGATCTAGGGATAATTTTAATGAAGAATACATTTGCTGAGATTTTATTGGTCGATAATAACGCAACAACTATTACTCATTGTGCAACTATACGAAACGAAAAAACTTCGAAAAATAACTCGAATTTGGGGAAATTTTTCGATAGTTTATTTGTTTCGTTCAGAAAACATATCGATATGAATGTCATACCTTACGTGGTGATTGCAAGCAAAGACTCTATCAAGGATGATTTTCGAGCTTACTTGTTGCTTGAGGCTCATAAATGGAAGATAAAATCCATCGAGAGAAACATATCATGTATTCTCATGGTTAACCATAACAATATTAAGGATATTTTGAGTGATAAAGTAGTCACAAATATGAACACAAACA